TCGGTAGACAGTCGGCCAAAGAAAGTCGGCCAAAGAAATCACTCTGATTGGCTGTTCAGCTTCGCGAGTCAGTGCATGAGAAGCGAAGCGGAAGTGAGGGACCAAAACAAACGATTAAGAAGGCACACACAGACGGCTAATCCTTTTCCTTTTCATCTCACCCGGACGCAAGAGTTTCTTTTTTATGTTTACATGTTTTCGATCGACGAGAGAGAGTGAAAACGGAACCCAGACGCTATTTGTTGTTTGTTTATATCACGCAGCCTGTTCTTCTTCTCTCTGTGTATCACGCAGCCTGTTCTTCTTCTCTCTGTGTATCACGCAGCCTGTTCTTCTTCTCTCGGTGTATCACGCAGTCTGTATTCCGGTTGTTGCCTCTTTTGAATGACAAATACACACTACCGCCGCCTGCTGGTAAGGAGAGTTATTGCCACTCGTCGACTGAAGTCTTTGCGGTGTGTTCGTAGGCGGGCGGCGTAGCCGTCGCAGGCGACGTAGCGGACGTAAAAGTCGGGACGCATTCGGTACGCGTTCTTTGGTCTCAGGTTGGTGTGTAGCGGCCTTAAGGGTAGTCGTTGAGAATATAGTTGGTTATCTTATGCTGTACGATATTAAAGGTCACCTATCATGCTATTTTTAGGCAATAGCATAGGTCTCAGATAGTGTGGTCAACATACCAAACAGATCACCCATTCATGCCTCATATCCAGAGTTGGGTGTAACGCGTTACAAAGTAACGCGTTACTGTAATAATATTACTTTTGTCGGTAACGGAGTAGTGTAACGCGTTACTTTTATAATTCAGTAATCACACTACAGTTACTAACATTGCCCCGACACGCGTTACTTCGTTACTTTTATAAAATCAGTCATAATCACACTGACAGACAAGAGGGGTTTCCGCCGCAGGTTTATATGTACGTAATCTGCGCGACTTGCGCGTCCACATCTCCACGTGCAGTGCTGCATAAACATGGCTGAGTCAGCGATAACTTTCGAGGGGTGGAGGTATGCCCATTATTTTGAGTTGGTCCGAAGAATAGACAGGAATGTGACGGTGAGGTGCAAACTGTGTCCAGGCCAGAAGCTGTTATCCACTGCTGCAAACACCACGTCAAACCTCAACAAACACCTGCAAAGAACACATGCTAAGGTGAAGCTAATAGCTAAGGACCCCCGAACCCAGAGTGAGGATGTTGTGAGTGCGCCGCCGCCGACTCTGAAGCGGCACAAATTAGAATTTGGAGGACCGGTAACCAAAGCAGAGATGGACAGGCTTGTAGCATCCTTCATAGTAGAGGTAATGTTGCCCATTTGCACAGTGGAATCACCATCGCATCGTTCAGAGATATACTGCGCAAAATACAGATAGCAGGAGACAGAGGACAGCCATAGTCAGAGCTATCTGGATCAGTCTTATGCGACAATGGAAACTGAACTAAAGAGAACATTTGAAACTTTAGCAGTCTGCGTGATCTGCCTGTAGGGAGGGGCGGGCCGGCCCTGAGAGTAAAGTAACGAGTAAAGTAACGAGTAAAGTAACGAGTAAAGTAACGAGTTACTTTATGTAGAAAGTAACGAAGTAGTGTAATATATTACTTTTTTTTAAAGTAATATGTAATATGTAATATATTACTTTTTTTTAGTAACAACCCCATCTCTGCTCATATCCCTCTATTTCTCTTCCTGTTTCAAAAGTGCTGATTCTGGGTACAAACAGCTCTCTTGAGAATGAGACCCTGTGTCTCAATGAGATGTTCACCTGTATAAATAAAGGCTAAAATAAAAATAGGAGGGGGCGGAGCTTATGCCGGCTCATGCGGGACCTGGCAGATACTGTCTAAAATGCTGCCGTGATGAAACGCCATATCATGGATTATCAAGGATTCTCTCTGAAACAGTATGGAGCTCAAAGGCTTTCTCTCTTGCCGGTTATACCACAAGGTGAGTTCCTTTTTATTTCCTGCTTCTTCACACACATGCTCTCCAGTACAGGTTAGCTCTGAGTGTTAGCGATGCTAATGTAAACACCGACCATATTACGTCCAAAACAGTCGGGCATTGTTTCTGATAGCAACGTTTCTGATAGGGCCGTGGGTCCACATTTCAGATATTACGTCATATCGGACGCAAATCTGGATCTGTGGGCTACATCGTTACATCGGAGGCTACATCGTAGGCTACATCGTTACATCGGAGGCTACATCGTTACATTGTAGGCTACATCGTTACATCGGAGGCTACATCGTAGGCTACATCGTTACATCGGAGGCTACATCGTTACATTGTGGGCTACATCGTTACATTGTGGGCTACATCGTTACATTGTGGGCTACATCGTTACATTATAGGCTACATTGTTACATTGTGGGCTACATCGGAGGCTACATCGTAGGCTACATTGTTACATTGTGGGCTACATCGTTACATCGTAGGCTACATCGTTACATTATAGGCTACATTGTTACATTGTGGGCTACATCGGAGGCTACATCGTAGGCTACATTGTTACATTGTGGGCTACATCGTTACATTATAGGCTACATTGTTACATTGTGGGCTACATCGTTGCATCGGAGGCTACATCGGAGGCTACATCGTAGGCTACATTGTTACATTGTGGGCTACATCGTTACATCGTAGGCTACATCGTTACATTGTAGGCTACATTGTTACATTGTAGGCTACATCGTTACATTGTAGGCTACATTGTTACATCGTAGGCTACATCGTAGGCTACATCGTTACATTGTGGGCTACATCGTTACATTGTAGGCTACATCGTTACATTGTAGGCTACATTGTTACATTGTAGGCTACATCGTTACATTATAGGCTACATCGTTACATTATAGGCTACATCGTTACATTGTAGGCTACATTGTTACATTGTGGGCTACATCGTTACATTGTAGGCTACATCGTTACATTGTAGGCTACATTGTTACATTGTAGGCTACATCGTTACATTATAGGCTACATCGTTACATTGTGGTCTACATCGTTACATTGTAGGCTACATTGTTACATTGTAGGCTACATCGTTACATTATAGGCTACATCGTTACATTGTAGGCTACATTGTTACATTGTGGGCTACATCGTTACATTATAGGCTACATCGTTACATTGTAGGCTACATTGTTACATTATAGGCTACATTGTTACATTGTAGGCTACATCGTTACATTATAGGCTACATCGTTACATTATAGGCTACATTGTTACATTGTGGGCTACATCGTTACATTATAGGCTACATTGTTACATTGTAGGCTACATTGTTACATTGTGGGCTACATCGTTACATTATAGGCTACATCGTTACATTATAGGCTACATTGTTACATTGTGGGCTACATCGTTACATTATAGGCTACATCGTTACATTGTAGGCTACATCGTTACATTGTAGGCTACATTGTTACATTGTAGGCTACATCGTTACATTATAGGCTACATCGTTACATTGTAGGCTACATCGTTACATTGTAGGCTACATCGTTACATTGTGGGCTACATCGTTACATTGTAGGCTACATTGTTACATTGTAGGCTACATCGTTACATTGTAGGCTACATCGTTACATTGTAGGCTACATTGTTACATTGTGGGCTACATCGTTACATTGTAGGCTACATCGTTACATTGTAGGCTACATCGTTACATTATAGGCTACATTGTTACATTGTGGGCTACATTGTTACATTGTAGGCTACATCGTTACATTGTAGGCTACATCGTTACATTATAGGCTACATCGTTACATTGTAGGCTACATCGTTACATTATAGGCTACATTGTTACATTGTGGGCTACATTGTTACATTGTAGGCTACATCGTTACATTGTAGGCTACATCGTTACATTATAGGCTACATCGTTACATTGTAGGCTACATCGTTACATTATAGGCTACATTGTTACATTGTGGGCTACATTGTTACATTATAGGCTACATCGTTGCATTGTAGGCTACATCGTTACATTGTGGTCTACATCGTTACATTGTAGGCTACATTGTTACATTGTAGGCTACATTGTTACATTATAGGCTACATCGTTACATTGTAGGCTACATCGTTACATTGTAGGCTACATCGTTACATTATAGGCTACATCGTTACATTATAGGCTACATTGTTACATTATAGGCTACATCGTTACATTATAGGCTACATCGTTACATTATAGGCTACATCGTTACATTATAGGCTACATTGTTACATTATAGGCTACATCGTTACATCGTCTACATCGTAGGCTACATTGTAGGCTACATCGTTACATCGTAGGCTACATTGTAGGCTACATCGTTACATCGGAGGCTACATCATTACATCGTCTACTTCGTAGGCTACAGTGTAGGCTACATCGTTACATTGTGGGCTACATCATTACATCGGAGGCTACATCGTAGGCTACATCGTTGCATCGTAGGCTACATCGTAGGCTACATCGCTGGTACATTGTTTGGCACATCGTCGTGGAGAACATCGTAGGATTCATCCTAAACTACATCAAAGCGTACATCCTGCTCCTCGTAGGGTTTGTTGTCAACAGGAGGAATCGTGGGGTTCTACGTAGGGTTCTACGTAGGGTACTACGTAGGGTACATGTTACTGTAGACTGCAGGGTTCACTCGTTTTATACAGAGGTTGCTTAGAAAGGATCGGGTACATCGTAGGGTTTGAGAAAGGCGACGTGGTTTCATGCTCCGTGCGGTGCGGTGACGACAGACTGATGAGACCCCGGATGGATTGACAACAGACTGGTTATATATCCTGTATCACATGAAGTGCAGTGTGCAGAGCAGCAGGAGTGCAGTGTGCAGAGCAGCATGAGTGCAGTGCTGCAGAGCATCGTTATTAACCCTTCAGCTCCATGACACTAACCTTCAGAAACCTCTGATGACGAGAGGAAGGAGAGACGTCTATAAACCCCCTCCTCTTCCTCTCTATGACCTTCATCATCTGCACTCTCATATAAAGCCTCTCAGGATGAAACAATGAAGATGATGAGGGGTAAATACCTGAAGAAGACGAGGTGCTGCTGCTTGTAAGGATTCCTCCTCCTCTTCCTCCTGCTGCTGTTGTCCTATAAATCTCCTCCTCTTCCTCCTCCTGCAGCAGCCCCCCCCCCCCCCCTCTCTGACGTCACACACAGGAAGAAGCCATGACAGGAATACACAAGCAGCCTCCATCTTTAACCCTTCCCTCCCCACACACAGGTGAGCCGTTTGCTTTGGCTTTTTAGAGAAACATTGTAAATGTGAATTAAAAAGCTAGATGTGGTGCCGGCTTGTGAAAGGTCAATAAATAAGAATAAAGCAGATAACTCATTTAGAGACGGGGATATATCAGAAAATACTAGAGGACTGAAAATAAAATAAAATAATAATAATGTTTAATAATAAAATATATAAACAGTAAATACAAATAACTGAATGACAGTTAGAGCAGTGAAGTGCATTATGGGTAATGTAGTCATTGACTGACGGTGTGATTTCTCCTTCAGTTCGACCTGCTGGACGTTACCCATAATGCATCTGGAGTTTAACTGGAGTTTATCTGTAATATAACTGGGGCTGTTTCTCAATCGCGAGGATATTGGCTTCCAAGCCAATATTTCAAGGATGCTACGTCATCAAGTGGCGCAGCAGGACCGTTCCAATCTCCAGCATACTTGGAATTCCACCGAGGCCGCGTCCTTGGTTTGGGGGAAATTTCGAGGCTGCACATGGGTAGACTTCGCGTCCTTAAAATCCCCACAATGCTTTGCGCACGGACCAATTTCCCCAAATCTGTGGTGGAAAATGTAAGGAGGCGGGGCCTCTCATATGACGCACACCTGCACACTTGCTAGCCTGTTCCACTCTTTGTTTTCCGAATGTCAGGAAAGATTCTTGCCTCGCTTCTGAAGCAAGATGCTCGGCAGACATGTGCTACCAAGCAAGCGTACTCCACATTGAGAAACACCCTGTGTGTGTGTGTGTGTGTGTGTGTGTGTGTCTGTGTGTGTGTGTGTGTGTGTGTGTGTGTGTGTGTGTGTGTGTGTGTGTGTGTGCGTGTGCGTGCGTGTGTGTGTGAGAGTGTGTGTGAGAGAGAGTGTGTGTGTGTGTGTGTGTGTGTGTGCGTGTGTGTGTGTGTGTATGCGTGAGTGTGTGTGTGTGTGTGTTCTCTATTTGTATCTGAACCTCAATGATTATGTTTAATATATTTTTTATTGAATTTATTTATTTTTTAAATATTATTTGAATTTATTTAATTGTAACAGGTTTTGTTTCTTATTTCTAATATATTTTAACATATGTAACTATACATTAATGGTGATGTATCATTATCATATTTATAAATAATTATATAATGTTATTATTATTATTATTATTATTATAATTATACAATTTGTTTGATATTTTATTGTATTTATATATTGTTTAGTCTTTCTATGTATTCCCTGCATGTTGTTCCACCGCTGTCCAGCTGGGGCGATGATGCGCCTCTCCGCCGCTAACCACCACCGAAGAAGAAATGTATTTATTAGGCAATTTGCAGCGGAAGAAGAAGAACATTTGGCGGGTAGTTTGTTTGTTTTTGTGGTGAGTTTTCTAAATGTAATTACTTCATTTACTCACTTTTCCTCCTAAAACAGCGGTTGAACCTCGCGGTACCGTAAAGATAACAATGTGAGGCTCTAGTTTAGTGAAGTTAGTGAGTTTAACGGCAGCTCTGTGAAGAGTTTGAGACGAAACAGAAATTTGTTTACGGAGAAAAACTCAGAAATCCGTTTAAATGTTAATGTTTTTATCGTTGTAATAGTCCTGTAAGCTATATAGTTGACCGCAGCTCATGGAGTGTAATAAGGTATCCGTTGACCTTTCTAGAGACATCTTTATTTACCTAACAGGTCTTCAGCCATGGAGACCATCACTCCGCGGCCGCACCACATCAGTGACGTCCTGATAGTATGTGTGCGCGGCACTATATTAGATTTTGACTCACTTTTCCTCCTCTACTTCTTCACAGATGTGGATGAATGATGTGAAACATAACCAAGTGTTAAATCAGACTTTAGTTCCACCTGGAGTAAATCCACAAGCTACCCTGCAGTATACAAAGTCATTCAAACTAGCTGCACCTTTACCAGCTTTGAGAACACTTTCATGATCAATCATTATAAAACATATCATATATATTATTCTGAAATGGACCAATCTGCACAATGACTACTTTTACTGTACTTTCACTATATTTTGATGAGAATACTTTAATGCCATATTATTTTAAGTATCTTAAAAACACAGTGGAAAGGAGATCATTAACACTTTAGAAATTATACAAATAAACCTTCAAATAAATATGTAGATTAAAATGTAAATACATATTTTTTTATAAAATAGAAAAATAGATAATAAAAATAGTATTATTTTAATTAGATATAGAACAATTTATAATAAAAACACTGCCTGATGTTATTGACCTTTCGTGAACCTGACGTTTATCTGCAGAATAATTAGGGTTTTTTTATTGTTATTTTTCACGTCTCCCTGCTTTAAAGGGGACCTATCATGCACAATGCACTTTTTGATGTCTTTTCTACATCAACACGTGACCCCGATGTGTCCCCGGTGTGTCCCCGGTGTGTCAGGGAACTCACGCAGCGTCAGAAAATAAAGCCCTCTCTCTTTTCCTCCGTACCCAAATCTCTAAAAACGGGGGAACAACGGAGCTGATCCAGATTTGCGTCCGATATGACGTAATATCTGAAATGTGGACCCTATCAGAAACGTTGCTATCAGAAACAATGCCCGACTGTTTTGGACGTAATATGGTCGGTGTTTACATTAGCATCGCTAACACTCAGAGCTAACCTGTACTGGAGAGCATGTGTGTGAAGAAGCAGGAAATAAAAAGGAACTCACCTTGTGGTATAACAAGAGAGAAAGCCTTTGAGCTCCATACTGTTTCAGAGACAATCCTTGATAATCCATGATATGGCGTTTCATCACGGCAGCATTTAGTTTAGACAGTAGCTGCCGGGTCCCGCATGAGCTCAGACCCCTACTTTTTAAAGCTTTATACCCCAAATCAGCACTTTAGAAACAGGAAGTGAAATAGAGGGATATGAGGCATGGCTAGAATGATCTGTTTGGTGTTTGGAGCAAAACACTTCATAGACATGTTTTTATATATTTGTATATCTGAGACCTATGCTATTGCCTAAAGATAGTACGATAGGTGACCTTTAATGTTCAAAAAGCTCTTTATTGTTCTCATACTGCCTGTACTGCAGCTCCTCTTTTCACCCTCTGTCTGAAACCAGAGCTGCTCTGATTGGTTAGCTGGCCGGCTCTGATGTGATTGGTCAACCGCGGGTTATGTTTCTTATTGCTAATATGTCTATATTTGATCATATTTAACTATAAATACATGGGGATGGATCAATATAATATTTGTAATTAATTGTATTATTTTATTATTTGTAATATTATATATTTAATTTAATTTAGTATTTATATATTTTTTACAATGTGTTGGAGCGCTAGCCAATAGGAGCCAAGGGTTCCATAGTGACGTCACTGTGATATTGTGACTTGTATTTTTGATATTTTGTGTACATGTACCTGTAGATACTGAGGTGGTCATGTGATGTTCTCCTGTAGATACTCAGGTGGTCATGTGATGTTCTCCTGGAGATACTGAGGTGGTCATGTGATGTTCTCCTGTAGATACTGAGGTGGTCATGTGATGTTCTCCTGTAGATACTGAGGAGGTCATGTGATGTTCTCCTGTAGATACTGAGGAGGTCATGTGATGTTCCCCTGTAGATACTGAGGTGGTCATGTGATGTTCTCCTGTAGATACTGAGGAGGTCATGTGATGTTCTCCTGTAGATACTGAGGTGGTCATGTGATGTTCTCCTGTAGATACTGAGGAGGTCATGTGATGTTCTCCTGTAGATACTGAGGAGGTCATGTGATGTTCTCCTGTAGATACTGAGGTGGTCATGTGATGTTCTCCTGTAGATACTCAGGTGGTCATGTGATGTTCCCCTGTAGATACTGAGGTGGTCATGTGATGTTCTCCTGTAGATACTGAGGTGGTCATGTGATGTTCTCCTGGAGATACTGAGGTGGTCATGTGATGTTCTCCTGTAGATACTGAGGTGGTCATGTGATGTTCTCCTGTAGATACTGAGGAGGTCATGTGATGTTCCCCTGTAGATACTGAGGTGGTCATGTGATGTTCTCCTGTAGATACTGAGGAGGTCATGTGATGTTCCCCTGTAGATACTGAGGAGGTCATGTGATGTTCTCCTGTAGATACTGAGGTGGTCATGTGATGTTCTCCTGTAGATACTGAGGAGGTCATGTGATGTTCTCCTGTAGATACTGAGGAGGTCATGTGATGTTCTCCTGTAGATACTGAGGTGGTCATGTGATGTTCTCCTGTAGATACTCAGGTGGTCATGTGATGTTCCCCTGTAGATACTGAGGTGGTCATGTGATGTTCTCCTGTAGATACTGAGGTGGTCATGTGATGTTCTCCTGGAGATACTGAGGAGGTCATGTGATGTTCTCCTGTAGATACTGAGGAGGTCATGTGATGTTCTCCTGTAGATACTGAGGTGGTCATGTGATGTTCTCCTGGAGATACTGAGGAGGTCATGTGATGTTCTCCTGGAGATACTGAGGTGGTCATGTGATGTTCTCCTGGAGATACTGAGGTGGTCATGTGATGTTCTCCTGGAGATACTGAGGTGGTCATGTGATGTTCTCCTGGAGATACTGAGGTGGTCATGTGATGTTCTCCTGTAGATACTGAGGTGGTCATGTGATGTTCTCCTGTAGATACTGAGGTGGTCATGTGATGTTCTCCTGGAGATACTGAGGAGGTCATGTGATGTTCTCCTGTAGATACTGAGGTGGTCATGTGATGTTCTCCTGTAGATACTGAGGTGGTCATGTGATGTTCTCCTGGAGATACTGAGGAGGTCATGTGATGTTCTCCTGGAGATACTGAGGTGGTCATGTGATGTTCTCCTGGAGATACTGAGGTGGTCATGTGATGTTCTCCTGTAGATACTGAGGTGGTCATGTGATGTTCTCCTGTAGATACTGAGGTGGTCATGTGATGTTCTCCTGGAGATACTGAGGAGGTCATGTGATGTTCTCCTGTAGATACTGAGGTGGTCATGTGATGTTCTCCTGTAGATACTGAGGTGGTCATGTGATGTTCTCCTGGAGATACTGAGGAGGTCATGTGATGTTCTCCTGTAGATACTGAGGAGGTCATGTGATGTTCTCCTGGAGATACTGAGGTGGTCATGTGATGTTCTCCTGGAGATACTGAGGTGGTCATGTGATGTTCTCCTGGAGATACTGAGGTGGTCATGTGATGTTCTCCTGGAGATACTGAGGTGGTCATGTGATGTTCTCCTGGAGATACTGAGGAGGTCATGTGATGTTCTCCTGTAGATACTGAGGTGGTCATGTGATGTTCTCCTGGAGATACTGAGGTGGTCATGTGATGTTCTCCTGTAGATACTGAGGTGGTCATGTGATGTTCTCCTGGAGATACTGAGGTGGTCATGTGATGTTCTCCTGTAGATACTGAGGAGGTCATGTGATGTTCTCCTGGAGATACTGAGGTGGTCATGTGATGTTCTCCTGGAGATACTGAGGTGGTCATGTGATGTTCTCCTGGAGATACTCAGGTGGTCATGTGATGTTCTCCTGTAGATACTGAGGTGGTCATGTGATGTTCCCCTGTAGATACTGAGGTGGTCATGTGATGTTCTCCTGTAGATACTGAGGTGGTCATGTGATGTTCTCCTGTAGATACTGAGGAGGTCATGTGATGTTCCCCTGTAGATACTGAGGTGGTCATGTGATGTTCTCCTGTAGATACTGAGGTGGTCATGTGATGTTCTCCTGGAGATACTGAGGTGGTCATGTGATGTTCTCCTGTCAGACCTCAGGAGGTCATGTGATGTTCTCCTGGAGATACTGAGGTGGTCATGTGATGTTCTCCTGGAGATACTGAGGTGGTCATGTGATGTTCTCCTGGAGATACTCAGGTGGTCATGTGATGTTCTCCTGGAGATACTCAGGTGGTCATGTGATGTTCTCCTGTAGATACTGAGGAGGTCATGTGATGTTCCCCTGTAGATACTGAGGTGGTCATGTGATGTTCTCCTGTAGATACTCAGGTGGTCATGTGATGTTCTCCTGTAGATACTGAGGTGGTCATGTGATGTTCTCCTGTAGATACTGAGGTGGTCATGTGATGTTCTCCTGTAGATACTGAGGAGGTCATGTGATGTTCCCCTGTAGATACTGAGGTGGTCATGTGATGTTCTCCTGTAGATACTGAGGTGGTCATGTGATGTTCTCCTGGAGATACTGAGGTGGTCATGTGATGTTCTCCTGGAGATACTGAGGTGGTCATGTGATGTTCTCCTGGAGATACTCAGGTGGTCATGTGATGTTCTCCTGTAGATACTGAGGAGGTCATGTGATGTTCCCCTGTAGATACTGAGGTGGTCATGTGATGTTCTCCTGTAGATACTCAGGTGGTCATGTGATGTTCTCCTGTAGATACTGAGGTGGTCATGTGATGTTCTCCTGTAGATACTGAGGTGGTCATGTGATGTTCTCCTGGAGATACTCAGGTGGTCATGTGATGTTCTCCTGTAGATACTGAGGTGGTCATGTGATGTTCTCCTGTAGATACTGAGGTGGTCATGTGATGTTCTCCTGTAGATACTGAGGTGGTCATGTGATGTTCTCCTGTAGATACTCAGGTGGTCATGTGATGTTCTCCTGTAGATACTGAGGTGGTCATGTGATGTTCTCCTGTAGATACTGAGGTGGTCATGTGATGTTCTCCTGTAGATACTGAGGAGGTCATGTGATGTTCCCCTGTAGATACTGAGGTGGTCATGTGATGTTCTCCTGTAGATACTGAGGTGGTCATGTGATGTTCTCCTGGAGATACTGAGGTGGTCATGTGATGTTCTCCTGGAGATACTGAGGTGGTCATGTGATGTTCTCCTGGAGATACTCAGGTGGTCATGTGATGTTCTCCTGTAGATACTGAGGAGGTCATGTGATGTTCCCCTGTAGATACTGAGGTGGTCATGTGATGTTCTCCTGTAGATACTCAGGTGGTCATGTGATGTTCTCCTGTAGATACTGAGGTGGTCATGTGATGTTCTCCTGTAGATACTGAGGTGGTCATGTGATGTTCTCCTGGAGATACTCAGGTGGTCATGTGATGTTCTCCTGTAGATACTGAGGTGGTCATGTGATGTTCTCCTGTAGATACTGAGGTGGTCATGTGATGTTCTCCTGTAGATACTGAGGTGGTCATGTGATGTTCTCCTGGAGATACTGAGGTGGTCAGGTGATGTTCTCCTGTAGATACTGAGGTGGTCATGTGATGTTCTCCTGTAGATACTGAGGTGGTCATGTGATGTTCTCCTGGAGATACTCAGGTGGTCATGTGATGTTCTCCTGTAGATACTGAGGTGGTCATGTGATGTTCTCCTGTCAGACCTCAGGAGGTCATGTGATGTTCTCCTGTAGATACTGAGGTGGTCATGTGATGTTCTCCTGTCAGACCTCAGGAGGTCATGTGATGTTCTCCTGGAGATACTGAGGTGGTCATGTGATGTTCTCCTGTAGATACTGAGGTGGTCATGTGATGTTCTCCTGGAGATACTGAGGTGGTCATGTGATGTTCTCCTGTCAGACCTCAGGAGGTCATGTGATGTTCTCCTGTAGATACTGAGGTGGTCATGTGATGTTCTCCTGTAGATACTGAGGTGGTCATGTGATGTTCCCCTGTAGATACTGAGGTGGTCATGTGATGTTCTCCTGTAGATACTGAGGTGGTCATGTGATGTTCTCCTGGAGATACTGAGGTGGTCATGTGATGTTCTCCTGTAGATACTGAGGTGGTCATGTGATGTTCTCCTGGAGATACTCAGGTGGTCATGTGATGTTCTCCTGTAGATACTCAGGTGGTCATGTGATGTTCCCCTGTAGATACTGAGGAGGTCATGTGATGTTCCCCTGTAGATACTCAGGTGGTCATGTGATGTTCTCCTGTAGATACTGAGGTGGTCAGGTGATGTTCTCCTGTCAGACCTCAGGAGGTCATGTGATGTTCTCCTGGAGATACTCAGGTGGTCATGTGATGTTCTCCTGTCAGACCTCAGGAGGTCATGTGATGTTCTCCTGTCAGACCTCAGGAGGTCATGTGATGTTCTCCTGTCAGACCTCAGAAGGTCATGTGATGTTCTCCTGTCAGACCTCAGGAGGTCATGTGATGTTCTCCTGGAGACACTCAGGTAGGGATGTCCCGATCACCTTTTTTTGCTCCCGATCCGATTCCGATCCGATCTTTATGCAATGCATTAAGAGGAAAAAAAAGGTAACAGATAACGGCTGGTCATCCAACGCGATGAATTCAGCTATCTTGGCTGTTCTGGGGCAGTTTCTCTTTCCTTTGAAAAGTCTCTGAAAGTGTCGGTTGTTTCAGTGCCGTTACCTGAGTGGCCGCTGTGTACTCCTCGTGTTGTTGTTGGTGGTGTTTGTATTAGATTGGTCGTGTTGAACGTAGCTCTGTTCTTTCCACCACGCGGAACCTCCGCCTTGCAAACATTGCATCTGGCTGTTACACTGCCTTCGCTTTCAATTTTATAATACTTCCAAACTCCTGACATTTTCTCTGTCCCGACTCCCGAGGCACCAGCTGAACGTAGCCTCTCGTTACACCGGCTGAACGTAGCCTCTCGTTACACCGGCTGAACGTAGCCTCTCGTTACACCGGCTGAACGTAGCCTCTCGTTACACCGGCTGAACGTAGCCTCTCGTTACAACGGCTGAACGTAGCCTCTCGTTACACCGGCTGAACGTAGCCTCTCGTTACACCGGCTGAACGTAGCCTCTCGTTACACACCGGCTGAACGTAGCCTCTCGTTACACCGGCTGCACGTAGCCTCTCGTTACACCGGCTGAACGTAGCCTCTCGTTACACCGGCTGAACGTAGCCTCTCGTTACACCGGCTGCACGTAGCCTCTCGTTACACCGGCTGAACGTAGCCTCTCGTTACACCGGCTGCACGTAGCCTCTCGTTACACCGGCTGAACGTAGCCTCTCGTTACACCGGCTGAACGTAGCCTCTCGTTACACCGGCTGAACGTAGCCTCTCGTTACACCGGCTGAACGTAGCCTCTCGTTACACCGGCTGAACGTAGCCTCTCGTTACACCAGCTGAACGTAGCCTCTCGTTACACCAGCTGAACGTAGCCTCTCGTTACACCAGCTGAACGTAGCCTCTCGTTACACCAGCTGAACGTAGCCTCTCGTTACACCAGCTGAACGTAGCCTCTTGTTAGCTTACTGCTACTATTAGACACTGCGCCCACTCTGTTGCCAGATTTGAGAGAAATAAGCAACCAGGTCTATGAAAACAAGCCCAAAAGAAGCAACACATATGATGTTGTGTAATTTTAACCCAAAACTAAGGCCTCAGGATGACTTTAAGACGTGAACATGGTCATTTTTGTTTTGTAACATTAAATAGAATGTATAAAAATATTTTATAAAAAAAAAAAAAAAAAAATCCGATCCCCGATTTTTTTCCCCCGATCACGTGAAAATCACGTGATCGGCTCCGATCCCCGATCACGTGATCGGATCGGGACATCCCTACACTCAGGAGGTCATGTGATGTTCTCCTGTCAGACCTCAGGAGGTCATGTGATGTTCTCCTGTCAGACCTCAGGTGGTCATGTGATGTTCTCCTGTCAGAGCTCAGGTGGTCATGTGATGTTCTCCTGTCAGACCTCAGGTGGTCATGTGATGTTCTCCTGTAGATACTGAGGTGGTCATGTGATGTTCTCCTGTCAGAGCTCAGGAGGTCATGTGATGTTCTCCTGTCAGACCTCAGGAGGTCATGTGATGTTCTCCTGTCAGACCTCAGGTGTGCGATGGAGTCGACGGAGAGCAGGTACGCTCACCTGCTGCAGCCAATCAGAGAGCTGACCAAGAACTGGGAGATTGACGTGGCGTCGGAGCTCAATGACTACCTGGAGGAGGTGAGAGCAGCCGGGACACCTCGTACATGAATACACCATGTGACCTGATGATTAATATGTGTGTGTGTGTGTGTGTGTGTGTGTGTGTGTGTGTGTGTGTGTGTGTGTGTGTGTGTGTGTGTGTGTGTGTGTGTGTGTGTGTGTGTGTGTGTTGTGTGTGTGTGTGTGTGTGTGTGTGTGTGTGTGTGTGTGTGTGTGTGTGTGTGTGTGTGTGTGTGTGTGTGTGTGTGTGTGTGTGTGTGTGTGTGTGTGTGTGTGTGTGTGTGTGTGTGTGTGTGTGTGTGTGTGTGTGTGTGTGTGTGTGTGTGTGTGTGGGGGGGGGTGGGGGTGTGTGTGGGGGTGGGTGTGTGTGTGTGTCAGTTGGATGAGATGTGCATCACGTTCGATGGGGGGAAGATCCGTTTGAATTTTGCCGAGGCGGCGCTTCTGATCCAGGGCTCGGCCTCCATCTACAGCAAGAAGGTAGCTTTAAACATTATTATATTATTATTATATTGCTTTAAAGGTGGGGTAGGTAAGTTTGAGAAACCGGCTCGAGATACACTTGTTGTTATATTCCATGGAATGCTCTTAACATCCCGATAGCAATGAATATCTGAAGTGCTTTGACAAAAAATCCATAAAGAAATATCATCTGTGGAAGCTGTAGTACTGTAAAAAGCACGACCAATCATCTGAGCCGGCCCGGCTAAAATAACTGGATGGCCTACCTGCCTGTCAGCCTTCCATCTGTGCACAAACTGATCTCGTGCCCTCATTGGTCATGTGCGCGTTCGTGTGTGTTGGAGGAGGGGCTCTGTGAGGAAGTGGCAGATTTTCTCCGGTTGTGTATTTTCAGATTCGAGCGCACTCGAGCCGGTTTCTCCAAACTTACCTACCCCACCTTTAAGGCAGATGATATTAAGTGTGTGTGTGTGTGTGTGTGTGTGTGTGTGTGTGTGTGTGTGTGTGTGTGTGTGTGTGTGTGGTGTGTGTGTGTGTGTGTGTGTGTGTGTGTGTGTGTGTGTGTGTGTGTGTGTGTGTGTGTGTGTGTGTGTGTGTGTGTGTGTGTGTGTGTGTGTGTGTGTCAGGTGGAGCTGCTGCACCGCCTGGTGTACCAAACTCTGGAGTACATCAACGACAGCAACAAGAAGTAGGGCTCCGTGTTAAAGGATCTATCTTTCTTTATTATTTAAATGAAACCACTTTATATTATTGTATCGAGGGCTTCAGATGTTGTATTATATTTGTTTACTTGCTTCCTCCTGACAGGAACAGAAAGCAGCGGGCGGTGTCTCCTGGGGACGAACAGGACGAAGAGGACAGAGACGCTGAGGACGTGGTGAGGAGCAGAGTTAGAGCAGTGAAGTGCATTCTGGGTAATGTAGTCATTGACTGACGGTGTGATTTCTCTCCTTCAGTTCGACCTGCTGGACGTCGATGACTCAGAGAAGTCCGAGAGCGAAGAGTCCAACACTGTACGTTACCCATAATGCATCTGGAGTTTAACTGGAGTGTATCTGTCATTTATGACATGGCTTAGTTGAATACTCGATTCTGATTGGTCAATTCAGAACCCGTGACATGTTGTTAATCCAGTAGTACAGACCGCTGTTAAGGACTTATTGACCGTTGCTAAGGACTTATTGACCGTTGCTAAGGACTTATTGACCGTTGCTAAGGACTTATTGACCGCTGTTAAGGACTTATTGGCCGTTGCTAAGGACTTATTGACCGTTGCTAAGGACTTATTGACCGTTGCTAAGGACTTATTGACCGTTGCTAAGGACTTATTGACCGCTGTTAAGGACTTATTGACCGCTGTTAAGGACTTATTGGCCGTTGCTAAGGACTTATTGACCGTTGCTAAGGACATTTCATGACCGTTGCTAAGGACGCTCACATCTGCAAAAAGAAGTCCGGTCGATTTCACTGTATTCAGTGGGCTGGGACAAGAAAACAGCGGAGAAGTAACGGGGCAGAAACCCTCCTTTTTATGCAGCGGTCCAGACACAGACATCAAACGGCGAGACATATTCAGTGTGCAGTTCCTTTGGCATTAGAGCAGGGGTATCTAGATCCTTCCCAGGGTCTGACATCATGGATTGAGCTACTTTTAAAGCAGCGATGTTTTCAAATCTGTAATCAAAATGCGAAACGCTATGGAAGCACTTCCTGCCGCGTTGCTACGTAGTTCAAACAGTAACAACGGACTATTTTTCTGAGCGGATGCACGTCATTTTAAATCAATACAACTATATTTAAAATCAATAAAAACATTTTCTAAATCAATAGAAACATTTAAATTAATATTGGGAGTCATGTCGTTACTTTGTTGAGAATGTGGCCGTGTGAGAACTAAGGGATAAAGTGCAGAGACTTGGTCCTTATGAAGAACACCCTCTGGTGTG